CATCTCTCACTCACTCACTCACTCACCCATTGACCCGTCCATAACATACCCGACGCGCAGACTAAGAGGTTTTTTTTTTCAAAAAAAAATAACTCAAAAACTGATGTTACGCTAATTGTTTGAATCTAAAATGAGCACTGACTTAGTTATCTCAGTATCTGTTGGGACATTAAGCCAAAGAGAGGACAGAAAGAAATGGTACCACTCCCCACCCCATCCAACCAACTATAATAATTAAAAATTAATACTAATTATTATTATTATTATTTTTTACAAATGCTTGGTTGATTTAGATTGTTCACAAAGTACAGGTAATGCAACCTTAGACTCAGACCATCTTATTTGCTTAAGATATTTTGTAATCCTACTCAGTTGATTTATGGTGTTAACATTCAAAATACTGTCTCTGTTGCAGTCCTCGTCTGCACTTACAGTCAAAATGGCAGAGGCCTTTCCTCCAAACAATGACAAATACATTTATATCGGTCCACAGATGTTTATTTTTTTGTGATGAGTTATTTTTTCTTGAGCATGCAAGTGATATGAGCACAGAGTGTGAGTGCGAGAGCAGGCTACCCCATTGTGTTCAGGCTTTTTCCAAACCCTCTGTGGTTATTACTTTAATTTATTGTGATCTTGACAAACTCTCAGCAAAATAGAGTCAAAGATTAAATCCTTCAACCAAATAATTCATCATTCAACCATAACTACCATTTGAATTCATTAATGACAAAGTTTCTCTTTCCATCCCCATGATAAATGTGATAGTAAATCTGGTAAAAAAGTAAAAATTTAATTGATTGAACAAGAAAGATATAATAGGTGTCTGTTTCCATGACTGGAATTATTTTGTGCATCTGACAGTTGCGTGACAGCATTCTTTCACGTACTCTGGTCCAGTGAGACAAAAACAAAACTTGCTGCCTGATACTGATATAATGTCTAACATGCAAATTCCAGTCAACTCTAAAATTTTTCAGGTTTGAAATAAAAAAGCAAAGTACAGGTAAAGACAAAATGCTGTATTTTCATCAAATCACTTCTAAATACATTGATACTTTGTTTTCTTACTTTGCCAACACCTCTCAAAGGGATGAAAAGAGAAACTTTGTCATAAGTTTATCCAAGGAACATTCAATATCAAAAATAATTTGAACTGGATTATTATTATTATTATTAATCTGGGACAACATGTAGGGTTCTTCCAAAAAGTTGACATAGACCTAGATTGATTTGTCTTATGATAATTTTCACATTTTATCACAAGCCTATGAATCACTTCATTTTATGCCAAAAGCATCATCTCCCTAGAAATATCATAACGACTGTAAGTTTGCTTGCCACAGTAAGGAAGGCATTTTTAAGTGAAACCTATTGTGTAATGTCACAAAAAAAAACAAAATAAGCCAAGAATAGTCTTCATGGACTATTTGTGCAAGGATCTGATTATCCTCATGATTCTTGCTTCATTTTTCACTTTTATCCAAATTTTCGTTGTTTCAGCTTAGAAAGGTAATGAGAAGGTCTTGAAAGCAATAAAACTATACGATTGTGTTATGTACAGTTCAGTTGTATCTTGAAAAATCTCAAGAATAACCCCCACAGCCAGGACTACTAGGCATTGATTTTTGCCCTCTACAAACCTTGAACACAAAGATTAACTTGTCACCATTACTCCTTAAATATCCACTTAATTAACAG